TCAAATAAACAAATGGGACCTGCAAATTATAAAAACGTTCCACAATCAGTGGGAAGCAAAGCAGTTCTCCCTCAAATCATAAATAAAAGATTTTAGACTTAAATTAATAGAAAGAAACCACAATCACAAACAACTTGTAAACTCAATTGAAATCACTTAAAACCATCAAACCATAAAACTATAAAATATTTCACAATAAACTTCAAAAAAGAAATTGATATTAAAACACTTAATTTCATTCATAATTTATATAAGCTTCAAAATAAGTAATAATTTCATAGTTTCAATATTTCAAACTCAAAACATTCAAAACAGCAGAACTGGTATGGAGGGAACACTAGTGGCCTTGCAATCCACCTCTTAAGGTTTGTCAGGACGAACCCCCGGTCATCTCGTAGAGACCGTGTCTAAGATTGGCCAACTCTCGATTATGGGTAGATTCCTATAAGGTCTTACACACCTCCGGACGACAACAATTAACCCAGGTTGAGCCACCTAAGACTCGCAATCTAGGTAGTTAGCATGTTCATTAACCATCGGGAAGCAACTCGACCTCACACCCGACTATAGCCCCACACACAATTCAAAAATTACTTAAAATACTTATTATAATATATTTCACTCGGAAATCTACAGAGAAGCCCAAATGGTCTTACACTTAGTTCAAACTGCATAAGAAAATCATATTTCTTAAATTCAATTGAAACTCCATTTCAAAACACACTTCAACATAATAAATCACAAAAGGTATCGTTTGAGTTTGGGAATATAATTAATTATCGGAAATCAACAATTAACTGCATTCACAACTCTTGGCAAAGTAATGCTAAAGACAGTATTATTCTTCTCTAAAGCATTACGACGTCGACAATACAGTTATTATAACTCACACATATTCAAACGCACATCAAAATATTTTACCTTAGGGATTTATAATACCCAAAGATTCACACATCACTTATTTAAAATATAATTTCAACTAATATAAAATAGTTATAATAAAAATTCCATAAATTCATTTGATAAAACCAAAAATCCAAACTACAAGTTCATTGAACAACCAAGCTAAGATAGGGCAACAAGATACGAGTCTAAAAATCATCATTAAAACCCAATCAAACATACTTCAAATGCAAAATAAAAATTAGGAAACATCATATATACTCAATAAGAATCATACAAAACCATTTCGGACTTAAAATTCTAGAGTTAACATGCTTAAATAAAATCATAAACACAACAGCTCTAATTTAGGTTCTAGCAGTACCATTCACACAAAACACCTCGAAAACCAACTTTGATCATAAAACTAAGCTTAGCCCATTATAGTACACACTCTAAAAACACAGTAGGCCATGTTAAACATGCATTTGCGCTTATAAATAAAGGAATACACAACTGAAAGTCACCATCTTTCACACGCCTAGCAAATTAGGGGCAACAGCTATGTTGCACTAATTTAGGCACTTTAAACTATTCAAAATTATAAAATCATGTCAAATTAATTTAGGGAATATGCTAACATGGTGCTAATTAAAATTTGGCAATAAAATGAGGGTTGCCCAGTTGATCTATTTGATTGACAAACTATGCCAATCAAAGACGCCACATAAGCATTGTAAGTGACTTGTAATTAACTCAGCCAAAAGAAGGCACACGTCGGTAACCTTATGTAAACGACTTAAGTGTTTTGCTGTTAGTGATCAAGTTTGGTAGGTAACCACGGTTAAAGGATGCTTTTAATTGCTGGTAGTTGGTACATAAAGAACAGTCAAATTTAGGTAGTTGACTGATATTTCTTCCCTTCCAAGGTTCATACTGTAGCAAATATGTAGAAAAAATTGAAGTTGCCTTCTTGAGTGACCTAACAACGTAGTGATTGCTCTAAATACATCTAGAATTTGATCATGGGTACATTTTGAATAGCAAAAACCTCGAAGATCCCAGATCTAACAAAATTGAGCATGATTACAATTTTTGGCAGATTAGTGTCGATATTTAAATTTATTTTCTGTAGAAAGTTTGTAAATCTGGTTATAGTAAAATTTCTACAAATTTTTTGTTTAGCTATATTTTTCCCTGGGTTTTTAGTGTTTATAAGGAATGAAAGTCTTGGATTGTGTGTAAATGTTTTTAGTAGTTGATGATTTTTCTTGGTAGTCTAAGAAATTAGTAATTTGATGGTAATCAATATTAATTATTCGGGTATCGTGTGATCCAGCCAATAATTTTTAAAAAATACATGTATTAATAGTAATGTTGTTGATGGATGGTAGAATTTTTTTAGATTCTAGTTTAAATATCTATTTTAATTATCTAAAACTCCTCGAACAGAAATAAATTTATGAGGTCTTCATGAAATTGATTAGGACAGTGTGTTCATACTTGGTAGTTGATGAAGCGAATATATTGAATCTTGATCTGTATTTCATGCAGGTTAGTATTTTTTTAGAAACAGCTTGAGAAAATAAATGGGTGATAGTGTGGGTGATACGGTGGGTGATAGTATGTTTGATAGAGAGTGGAATCTGAATGTGATGAAGTTGAAGTTCATGAAATTGTGAGTGAAGTTGGGTGTGGGGAGCAGAATGGAAATCGATTTATGTCTCCAAAAACCACGACATGAACCGGAGGCACTGTTGTTGGCAGTAGTAATGTCAGTGTGGTAAGCTTTGTTGAACCCCCAAAAGTTGGAATGATTTTTAAGAGTTGGCAAAATGTCAAGGCTTATTACAATTCATATGCTGAGTGTAGGGAATATTTCAAGCATTACCCCAAACTTGAACCCCACTGTGATCATACACTAAAGTATGGTAGCGTCCAAAGGGAAAGAAGCTAGAGCAAAAGAGTTGCCAACAAGTTTTAGGAACTTGTAAACCGTTCACAGGGTGAAGGTTACACCCATTAATGATCCAGGAGATCGCTAACTCCAATAGGTCTGGAACCATGACTGGAAGTTCGGGGATGAAGGTACGAATCCAACCAAAAAGAGATTGAACCTGCCCTAATAATAGGCCTCTACTTTATTCTTCTCGTATTCATGTGCGCTTTCTAACTAACATGCAATCAATAGGTTAACCCTAAACCTGTTTATCTATGTTGGTTGAATATTAATGCACAAACAAAACTATTATTGGCGATCACTTGAATTATAATCAAATTAACCCTAAACAAGATTATTAATTATTTTATTAAGCGTGATTACAAGTACCAATTCCCTTTAAACATGCATTAAAGGTGTGATCAAGCAATAACAATAAATATATATAAAGCAACATGATAAATCATCATAAATAATTATTATAATAATCATAATAATAATAATAACAATCATAATCATGATAACAATCATAATAATCATAATTAAAATAATCATGTTAAAGCGTAATAATAGCAAGATCCTAGGCATGATACTAACAAGATTAATAACAACTCTAGCATGTCACTAAATATCAAAGATCAAATCTTTATCCCTAACATGATACTAACATGAATATTAAGAAATAGAATAGGAAGCATCACAGGAATCATAATAAGAATATTTGATATTAGAAATTTTTAGTTGTTACCCTAAACATGATACTAGGAAGATCAAAACACTCTAACATGACACTAGGAATCATAATAACAACCTAGACATGATTTCTATATCATAATAACAATGCAAACAATTAAAGCACTTACTTGGATGCCTCGTACCTCTTTCTAATAACAAAATACACGCGTTAATAACTTCAAGGAAAATAATGAATCAAACAATTAAATTAAATAACTGAAAGAGAGATTTGGGACCAAACCCTCAGAAATTAAAACCTTTCACGTCTAGGGCGAAGGCAAGTCTAGATCTTGTGAATGCGGAACTTTGTGTGAGGAAAGCTAGTTTAGAAAAGAGAGAGAGAGTAATAAAGAATTGGTGAGAAGATTGATCATTGAAAGCGGAGGTTTTAGGAGGCTATTTATAGAGAAAATCAACCAAATATGATAAAAAAACGAATCAGAGTTTCGAAAAGAATAAAACACGACTGCAGCGCCAAACACGCACCTGTCGCCAGGCGACAGAGCTGTCATATGGCGCTGTAAATAGTTTTCCACGCGTTTTCTTATTTTGATAAAATTTAAGCGTACGAGAGGGCAAAACTGTATTTTCCTTAAAAAACACTTCTTCTATTCTAATAAAAACTCCTAAAAGTCAACTAAAGTCAATTTATCAATGCTAATCAAATTAGGAATGAAAAGAACCTTCTAGAAGACTATAATAAATTCTAATCGCATTAGGAATGATAAATTAATAATAGGCCCTCCTCTAGATCATTGGGCCGCACATAAATATCAAACCGGGCCTAGTTTAGTAATTTGGCCATAACTTCCTCATTATTCATCGGAATTGGGCTTATAATGTATTATTGGAAATCTTTTTTCGAACCCGACCCAACTACACCATTATTGGACCCTTTCCATGGACCAAACCAAACTAGATTGGCTGTTTTCTTAAAATAGGTTTTCAAAAACAGAGAGAAAGAGAACAAATAAAAACTAACCGCAACACTAGACTTTCCACACTTTCACTTTATTTGATTATGATTCGACGCGAAAGGTACTCATCACTGGGTTTGGTTTTGGGGAGACAAAAATGGGTGTCTACACTGAGCAACAGGGTTTTGGGGTTACTAGGGCTCAAGTGTGTATTCAAAAGGTGAGGTTAGAGACCGTATTGCAACAACATGGAGGTGTGAATGTTGGGGTAGACCAGACATGAGAGCCATGAGGAAAGAAAAGAAGAGGGAAAAGGCTATGGATGTATCTGGTCCAGGAGGAGTTGTTGGAGGTGTTGTGCGGTGGATGAGCTTAGCCAACGAAAGAGAAAGTCAAAAAAATGTGAGTGTCTGGCAAAGGTCTATGCTAGTATTAACCATGATGGGGAGTGAGAGATAAAAAGAGTGGAGTTGGAACATACGCACGATGCTACCCCACGTAAGGCAAGTTTAGTGAAAAAGTATAGAATGAAGGGCCTAACATCTAGAGCTAGGAAGAGGTTGTTGGACTATTTTGAAGAAGGTGTGTATGTATCACAAATTCACGGTTGCTTTTCTGCTGAACTAGATGGGTTTGACAACCTCCGCTTCACTATGAAAGACTTGGCTCATGAGGTCTACAAGACCAGGAGGTTAAAAATGCTAGGGGGTGATGCAAGAACACTGATGACTTATTTTAAGAAAATGCAAGAAGGCAACATGAATTTTTTTCATTATGTACGCTTAGACCCAAAGGGTAGGTTGAAAGATGTAATTTGTGTTGATGGGCGTAGTCGGGCTGCATATGAAGAATTTGGGGATGTTGTATGTTTTGACGCTACCTATCTAACAAATGCGTATGCATTACCATTTGTTAAATTCGTGGGTGTTAACCATCATGGACAAACCATACTGTTGGGTGTGCATTGGTTTCCCACGAGGACTGTGATACCTTTAGATGGATTTTTCAGGAGTGGTTAACATGTAAGAAAAACAAATCCCAAGGAGCAATTCTAACTGACCAGGTTGTGGCCATGAGGAAGCCCTTAGAAGAGGTGATGCCCGAGGCGCGGCATCGATGGTGCATCTGGCACATTATAAGAAAAATTCAAGAAAAATTAGGCAAATGCAAAGGGTTAGTAAATTTATATTTCTGCTATATGGATTGTTTACATATAAAATTAAATCCTAATGTGTAACGATTTGCAGGTACATAGAATTCAAACCTATGCTCAAATCGATTGTTTATGAAAGTTTGATTGTTGAAGAGTTTGAGAATCATTGGACAGAGTTTATAAATGACTACAGCTTAAAAAACAATGATTGGTTGTCAAACCTTTATACCGAAAGGCATATGTGGTTTCCCGCATTCTTAAGAGACTACTTCTGGGCGGGTATGAAGACAACTCAACGGGTTGAAAGTATAAATAGTTTTTTTGATGGATTTTTCAATCGTACCACTAAGCTTTTTAAATTTCCAATTAATTTTGCAAAGGCGATGAAGAAGCGGGTACGAGACGAGACAGCTGCTGATGCGAATTGTGCTAAGTATGTATGGAGGCTAGTGACTGGTTTTAAGGTTGAGAAGTATTTTCAACGGGTGTACACAGACACTAATTTCAAGAGGTGCAGAATGAATGTACTCGAATGATGTAGAAGACCTTGTGTGGATTTTACCAGAAGGTAAGAGTGAGGAAGTCATAACCGATCGTCGAAGGTATTTCACTAACACATTTAACAAGGATACATTAGAGGTTGAATGTCAATGCCGCATATTTGTCACACATGGTATAATGTGCACACACGTGATGCAAATACTTGATAAGAATCATGTATTTGATGTTCCCGAACAATATGTTGTTAGGAGATGGCGCAAGGATATACTTAGGAATGAAGCACACACGAGTTGTCGTGTCATACCATGAGCCAAATAAATATGCGGTTGTTCAAAGGTACAACAAGTTGATGCCTAAGTTTGAAGAGTTATGCGACGAAGCAGCTATATTGAATGAAGAAGTTTTTACCATGGTTAGCAAGGCATTATCGAATCTTAGGGAAGAAGTTCTACAGTGCAAGAATAAGGAGGCCGCAGATAGTTTAACCATATCATTTCTTGATGAGGATACTGATCCGAATTTGTCAGCAAACACAAGCAAGAACACGGTGTCCACTATTGATGAGCCTATTCAACGCGATGATTATACTATTGATTCTCTATTTGAAAGCCCAGAACATGTCCCACCTCCTAGTATCATTTCAGTAATAGATTCTAATGTCACGAAAAGACATCGTGGACGGCCTAAGGGATCTCGACAAAAGACTTTGGCAGAGATGGGTTTCAAGATAAAGAAAAAACAGAATACCAATATGGTTAAACGTAACATAGATGTGGCCGCCACTGGTAATGCAAAGAGCAAACGTAAAGCACTAGTATAAACTGGAAGTCAATGGCAACACCACACAATATAGCCATATCACTTGTTTTCGTAATTACATTTACATGTTTACCATTGTCTTTCAAATTAGTCGTTGATAACAATTCTATTGATGTAGGCCAAGAAGGTTAAATTGTTAGAAGATTTGGTGCCATTAAACTCCTTGATAAAAAAAGGTAAGTACTAGTACAACCAATTGTTTAGAATATCGTACTATTACTACTTAACTAAGTCACTTAAAAATGCATGTTTTTACTTTATCAGGATAAACGAAAGGCCACAAATGACTTGACCAGCGCTCGTCCTACAAAGATAACATGTAGAGGGACAAAGAAGGATTGACTATCACTGATGTATGTAACCTGTTTCGAATGCAAGAAGGAAGTAACTACGAATTGAAATTTGTTTTATTAACTAACATTTGTCATAACTATGTCCTACGCAATCCTTAGTTGAGTTTAAACATTTCGTCTATGGTGTTAAGAATTGTTATGTTTGTCTAAAGACTATGGTTTAATATTCTCTAAGTTGGAATGTACTTGTCAAATTGTTCTAAATGTTTTTAATTGTGATTCTTATATTTTAGGAAATTTTGTGTAGAACTACCCTAAAGATAGGGTCATTTGTGAACAACTACCCTTTTTTTTTTATTTGTTTAGAACTACCCGCAAGTTTGGAAAGTTTGGGTAGCACTACCCACCAACGTTTCCCGTCCAATTAAAACGTTATTTTGGCCAAATTTTTTACTTTTTTCAATTACAATGGTCAATTAATGCTAAAATAAGCAAAAACCCCAATTCAATTAAACCCCCAAACCTTAGAAATTAAAATCCCCAAATAATACTACACTCATGAACCCTAAAATAAATTATGATTAAAACCTTAATTAGGTTAATTAAGGTAAATTAAAACCTTTATACAAATTGGGAGAGTTAATTGGGTGGCAAAAGTGAAAAAAGTGAGCTCCGATAACGTCTTAATTGGACGAAAAATGTTAATGGGTAGTGCTACCCAAATGTTTTCAAACTTGTGGGTAGTTCTAAACAAATAAAAAAAAGGGTAGTTATTCACAAATGACCCTATCTTTAGGGTAGTTTTACACAAAATTTCCTATATTTTATGATGGGTAGCTGTGGGGGAATAAATTTCAAGCGTTAAACCCATAGCTTGAACCCCACTGTGATCATACACTTAAGTACGGTGGCGTCCAAAAGGGAAGAAGATAGAGCAAAAGAGTCGCCAACAAGTTTTAGGAACTTGTAAACCATTCACAGGGTGAAGGTTACACCCCTCAACGATCCAAGAGATTGTCAACTCCATAAGGTCTTGAACCAAATAAGGGTTCGGGGATGAAGGTACAAATCCAACCTAAAAGATATTGAACCTGCCCTAATAATAGGCCTCTACTTTATTCTAATCGTATTCATGTGCGCTTTTTGACTAACATGCAATCAATAGGATTAACCCTAAACCTGTTTATCTATGTTCGTTGAATATTAATGCACAAATAAATCTATTATTGGCGATCACTTGAATTGCAATCACATTAACCCTAACAAGATTATTAATTATCTTATTAAGCGTGATTACAAGTATAGATTCCCTTTAAACATGCATAAAGGCGTGATCAAGCAGTAAAAATAAACATCAAGCAACATAATAATAATCAATAAAATAATTATGATCATCAAAATAAAATTATAACAATAATCATCATAATAATAATTATAATAATCATAATCATAATAATCATGTTAAAGCATAATAATAGCAAGATCCTAGGCATGATACTAACAAGATTAATAACAAACCCTAGCATGTCACTAAACAATAAAAATCAAATATATAGCCCTAACATGATACTAACAATCATAAATATTAGAAAGAACATAGGAAGCATCGCAGGAATCATAATAAACATATTTGATATTATAACCTTTTCCCTAAACATGATACTAGGAATCATTGTTGTCATTTTAAAACATCAAGCATCCTAACATGATACTAGGAATCAAAATAACAATCTAAACATGATTTCTACATCATAACATCAATAAAAACCATAAAGCACTTACTTTGATGCCTCGTACCTCTTTCTAATAACAAAATACACACGTTAGTAACTTCAATGAAAATAATAAACAAAACAATTAAATTAAATAATTGAAAGAGAGATTTGGGACCAAACCCTCATAAATTAAACCTTTCACGTCTAAGGCGAAGGCAACTTCGAATATGGCTAGGTGTTTCTAGATCTAATGAATGCGGAATTTTGTATGTAAAATCTAGTTTAGAAAAAGAGAGAGATGAATGGTAATCAAGAAAATCTGATGAGAATTGGTGAATGAAAATAGAGAGAATTTGTTTAGAATTAGAAAGAATAAGAATTGATGATTGCGAATGAAAACTGGTTGTAGGTGAATGATTATTGAAAACTGGTTATCGAAAACGGAGTTTTTAATACGTTATTTATAGAGAAAATCAGCCAAAAAGATAAAATATCAAACAGAGCTGGCGCACCTAAAACAGAGCTGGTGCCAATGTTGGCTTATTGGCGCTAGGCGCCAACATTAGCGCCAGGCGCCAATGTTTGGCTTTAGGCGCTAATACTGTTTTTGACGCGTTTTCTAAAATCAGATAAATTTTGCCGTACAGGAGGATAAAATCGTATCTTTTCCTCAAAAATGTTCTTTGATTTTAATTAAAACTCTAAAAAGTCAACAAAAGTCAATTTATCAATGCTCCCTTCTAGAAGAATCTAGAAGACTAAAACCATTCCTAATTGCATTAGGAATGATAAATCTATATTAGGCCCTCTCCTAGATCATTGGGCCGTATATAAGGCTCAAACCGGGCCCAATTTAGTAAATTGGCCATAACTTCCTCAATATTCATCGGAATTGGACTTATAATATATCATTGGAAAGCTCTTGTCAAGCCCCATCCAACTACACTATTTTTGGACCCATATCATGGACCAACCAAACTGGATTGGCTGTTTTCTTAAAATAAGTTTTCAAAAACAGAAAGAAGAGAAAAGAAATTAAAACTATTCGCAACACTAAACTTTCCACACTTTCACTTAATTTGATTATGATTCAACGTGAAAGGTACTCATCACTTGGTTTGGTTTTGGGGAGACACAAATGGGTGTCTACAGAAGCCCCCACTTTGACTGAGTTTGGAGAAACGCAAGTTTCGAAAACGAAAGTCAAAGTATCGATAGGGACGGAGAATGATTCAGAACGTTCTGCGATCCTAAATCACTCTTGTAACGCCGATACCTGCAAAACTAGCGTTAGTTAAATAGATAAAAGAGTTAAGAAACGCGTATCTTGCACCATCGAGCACACGTCTCTGAAAGTAACCGATTGTTTTGATGACCTCCTGCAAACTAGAGAATGTCATCCCGCTTGAAAACCGCTACGCCTATAACTGCTTCCAAATCAGAAGATTGCTTCGCCTGAAACGATCCTCCTCCGCTATTGTAGACACCTAAAAATGTCTCCCCAAAACCAAATCCGATGATAAATAACCTTTCACCGCCACTGTTGGTCGGGTTTAGTATTTAATCCCGAGAGTGCTTGAAAAATCGTATTTTATTAAATTCATACCTTTGAAAGGTCCATGGATTAGTCTTGATGTTTGGTAAAAAGCATAATTTTAATTTTAGCCCAAGCTTGTTAATTAATTTTAAGCCCAAACCTTTTTATTTTATTATTTTATTATTTTTGGCCCAAACATTTAATTTATTTTTATTTTATTATTTTCTTATTTTAGCCTGAATAATAAAAGTAAGAAAAAATCCCGAAATTATCAATCGGCACTTAAAAAGCCGAAAGAAATTAGGGTTGAAAATGAATTTAGACGGAAAAAAGGACTGGAACTGACCGTGTCACGGTACAGCTTGACCGTGTCACAGGAACTGTTCCCGTCTGACGATGGGACTTCCCGTGACACGGGAGGTCTGCCGTGACACGGGAAGTTCCGTGTCCTTTCCGCGTAAACCCTTAACGCGTTTTCCGTCCCGTTTTCTGAAAATTTCCCGCGTCACTCCAAAACTGACCGTGTCACGGGAACTTGTACCGTTTGACGGTACAGTCTAACCGTGTCACGGTACAGTCTGACCGTGTCACAGGATATTTGTTTAGGGTTTTTATCATTTTAGGGTTCCGTGTGCTCCCTCAACACATTTCCCTATAAATACCCCTTCATT